GCTAAAAATATTTTTGCTATGATTTTATGCTGTGGCTTTTTCTCATCTGGCAATGGCTGAACCCAAAACTAGAAGTTTCCTGTCTTAGAGCCACACATCTGTACGACCAAGGGATCCAGCAGTACGTGGAGCACACGGGAACACAAACCACTCCGTCCCTTTTTGTGCAGAACAGAACAAGATCCTAGAAGAGCACCCTTAAAACAGAAGTAGTAGTTGCGCTTTTGAATCTTGTCCCAGATTTGCCTCCTCTCCCCTTGGGGTTAGCACAATGTCTACTAACTGGCTATTTCTCAGCTGAACTGGTCAGCGTGGCTTTCTTATTTTGTGGTAAAAATATAAATATATGTGTGTATATATGTAACAAGAGCTGGATTGTTCAGCTTTGCTTATTAAAGCAGACTTTAAAAATCACCTCAGCACATAAATGGTGCTATTTTATGTATACCAACATCTCAGCACCTGATTCATTTCTTTAAATAAATCTCTCTCTGGCGCAATTTGTGCATATCTGAAAACCACCACGTAATTTGGCACAACGCGATACAGTTGGCAGCCTCTGCTGAAGAGAGGTCCAGGACTGGAACTAAGAGGGTTACCGCCAGCCAGGACTGAGGTGCATTAAAAGAGTTACATGGCGAGGTTTTTCACAGCGGTTGCCCGCACCGTCGTTGATCCAAGCCGTTGCTATTCGTTTCTCACTTTCGGGGGCATTGCAGTCGTGCAGAAAAAAACATAGGTGTGTGCTTGAGCCTTTCTCCCTCCACTCACAGCTCGCTTGCCCCACCCTGCCTCAAGCTCTCTTAAGAATTAGAATTTTCCATTTCCCAGAACGCTCTCGCAGAACCATAACCTGCCGCACGCAGCCCTGGCAAAACACTCCTGTCGCCAAAGGGTCACACCAGCGTTCAACCCTCTCAGGCATTCGCCCTTTTCACGACCGCTTACTTGAATCAAAACCCATTTAATGGATGTTTCTGAGGTTAAGTGCAGCAAAAGACTGCAAGGTGTAAAAAAAGGCCCTTTTTATTGGGGAGCATCTGGAGGGAAAAAAAACATCCATAAAAGTGCCACAAAAGATTAAAAGTGCTACTGAATAACACTTAAGAGGAAAGGGTACTGCTGTGATCTAGTCAGTTGGCCCTAACGTGCTTATTTCTGAGGGAAGACAAATAAGTACAGCGGGTACAGGTGAAGTAATTCCAACATTAGTGTTGCAGCACCATCTGTTGTCAGTGTGTGGCTGCATATTTAAGATTTTCAAGCTTTGACTCATACAGAAAGTGGCATTGAGATTATAATAGATTGTTTTTATTCTCTAGGTTACACCGCAAAGTGCTTACCTTGTTTGCTGCACTTTGTATTCCCAGAAAATCTTACTCAGCTACATGACAACAATGAGAGGCAAAATGATAGTTAATTTTCCAGGTGTTATGAAAATATAATATTTATAATATTCAGAGTAGCAGCAAAAAGTTGCATAGCTGCATTGTAATTTGTTCACTGTTACCTTTTGATTTGGTGCCTGAATCCTCACTCTATACTGTGGTCTATGAGAATACCATGGAGAGTTTAGGAGCTTAAAAAAAGAGAGAGAAGGTTGTGGAGGAGAGGCAAACAACAACAACAACAACCCTTTCATCAGCAATTCAATTGACCCTTTAGAAGCCACACGAAACTATGTAAAAATGAATGAAAAACGATTCTGACCTGGTACTTCAGAATCCAACAAAATGAGTTTGTTTTTTGGGTCGGAGGCAGCTTGCTCTTGCAGCAGCAGAGGGCTCTCCCTTCCTAATTAAGAGGGCTAGGAGAAGCCCATCCGCTCTGCTTTTAAAAACAGCAGCAGGAAGCCTCTGCTTTTGCGCCAGAGCCACTCGTCTCTAAAAAGAAGCTGAAATTAAGCAGCAGGAGGTAGGGATATACAAAATATACAAAAAGGCATAGCCATATTATATGTGTATTTTATATATTCTCATTGCGTGCCAGATGACACAAAGTCCAGGCAATGTCAAGGTAACACAGTCCCTGTTTTTATCAGGGTAGACGATCCTTGTCTCTTTTTCGATAACTGTGTATCACAGGTGGTCAAGCTATAGTCTACTATAAGGCTTACTTCTCTCCTGAGGGTTTTTCACCCAGGGTAGGGAAGCAGGCACAGGCCACGTTTACGCCATCCGTAGCCCAGCCAGGGATGACCAAAGTCTTTCCTCCATCACATGGCCAAAATGCCCCTGTCCCATGCCAGGGCAGGCACATACAACTCTGGTCCCAGGACACCCACACTGCCGCTCATAAGACTTGAACAGCTCTCACAAATTCTGCGAGAGAGATGATTTGATTTGAATCCAGTGACATTCGGATTTCCAGTTGCACGATGAGGGAGGCGTGTCACATATCCTCGAATGCCAAAAATTTCCCTAAATGCCACTTGGATTACCCTGAAAGCATCATATTGACCTGGAAAAGCTGAATGATGTGTTTAGATTTTATTTGGTTAGCTTTGTACCGAAAACCAAGAAGAAATCAAGTACAATTCTTTCAGATCACATGCAAGTGAATGCATTCTGCAGATGAGCTTCAGAGGGAGAGACTGAGACCAATACACCCAAAATAGTCTAGAATTAGGGATAAGTCTCTCTCCTGAATCATTGGAAATATGGATTCAAGTCCCACAACCCAGAAAAGGGAACTGTGCCAAAGAGTGGGCTTCTGGATAAAAGGCTCTGCCACCTCCTCCACTTTGTGGAACCAAACCAAAAGAAGCTGCCAAAAATTTGAGATGAGAGAGTAAGTTGTTTCAAGTTGATGGAAATTCTATACCTTTTGAAAAATAAGTTATTCACATACAATCACACACCTGTCAAGACGTTTCTGCTTTTGCCCCAGAGAGGAAATCCTGCCAGTTACAGACCGCTGAGGAAAGAGAGAGTGACACACAGCGAGGAGGAAGAAAATGCAGAACAAGCGCACATTGCTTCCCCGTTTGCTTATTCTTGAGAAGGTACTTGATATTCGATGGGCTTTCTGACAAGGTTGGATTTGGATTGCATTGACTGTGCTGTTTTTATCAGAAAGAATAGCAATTTCCTCCTCTCTCAAGAAATCAGTGTAAAATGAAAACATGAGCTTCTTACATGCAGCTGGGCAAGCTGGTTGCTTGCGATAATTAATATGTGGTTTGCTGTTAGTGCAGGGAATGGGAAAGCAGCTTATATTAATCCAGCTGAATAATTGCACCTCTTCAGGCAACACAATTTTTTTAAAGATGGGGTAGTCTGTAGAGGAAAAAATATATACTAACATGCAGTTCAAATGAGCATGTTTTCCTTACAAAGCATTTTTGAAAAATTTCTCATGTCTTCATCGTCAAAACTAGATTTTTGATAAGTAGAGAAATCACTTTTTTCATCAAGTTTGTTAATTGTTCATCTTTTCTATCAATTTCATCATTCACTAGTACATCATCTTCCATTCTTTTCTTCCTCACTCTGATTTTACTGGTACCCATTAAAATCATTTTCCTCATGTATCACTTCCTCTCTGAATCTTTTCATTAACTTTTACAAGGTTCCTGCCTCAGCTTCTAGTGTTCACCTTCTCCCTTCATTACTCCATCAACACCTTCAATACTGCGGGCTTGAGTTGTTTTGTTTTGTTTTTCTCTTTTTTCAATTATGAGAATATCCTCCTTCTACTGGTGTATCACAGAGATGTCTTTTCAATCAAACACTTGCCACAGAGCCTGTCACTGAAGGGAAAACTGTTGTATAAGTTGTTGCATAAGGCATTTTTATTTCAAAAAGCCATCTTCCAGATAATTCTTGCTCCTTGGGAATTGCCACCTTTTGTCTGACTTTTAAAGACATTTGAAATAGAAACTCATAGTTCAGGAACTATGCCTTTCTCTATGTTTTATACCACATTCAGCACTGTGTTTTCAATAATAAGGAATGGAAATCAATGAGGGTGGGCACGAAAAAATGTCTCTCATTACAGATTTTTTTCATAGTAAAAGAAGGTTGCTTTTAGGGAAAAAAAAGATCTGTATATTACACTACAGTAAAGTCATGAAAAAAGCAAGCATCCTGTGCTGTGCAAGTAAAATAACTTGGAAAAGGTGATGAGCAGTGAGGTGTCACAGTTTGCTGATGGTATCATCAGCAAATTTGTAAGCACAAGGGCTAGCTGTGAAAAATGGCAGAAGCGCCTTACTGGACTGAGTAATGAAACAAGAGGTCAAAATTGATGTCAGTAAATACCAGGTGATGCATACTGGGCAAAACGCAGTCCCAACTCCCTCTATAATAAGGGAGACTCCAGATAGATCATCATTCCCAGAGCAGGACCTTGGGGCTACGGTAGATAGTTCAGTAAAAGCATTAGCTTGTGCTCTGGCGGAGTCAAAACAAGCAAATAAAACAGGAAACATTATTACGCTGCTGTATAAACCCCTCTTTCACTCCCTCTTTGAATGCTGCATGCAGTTCTGCTCCCCTCCTTTCCAGAGAGAACATGGCGACTTTGAAAAAAGTTCAGAAGGCGGCAAGGATGACGAAAGGTTCTGAATGAGCTTGTGCATGAGGAAGCGGGACTAGGTCGGGAGACTTCAGGCTGGAAAAGGGATAACTGGAGATGCAGGAATATGATAAAGATCTAAAAAAAATCAAGGGAGCCTAGGAGGTATGGCTAAGGACCAATTGTTTACTGTCTTCTCTGTTACAAGAAGTAGCTGGCAGCAAAGAAATTCAGTAGAAGCGAAGTTAAAAACTGCACAGGTGGTTCTTCCCAGTATGGAAGGAAATAGGAAGGCATTGTGGATGCTAAAATGTATACAGGATGAAGGGGAAATTGGGCAAAAAATTGGAAGAGACACCTGTTGGAGGTTTACTAAGGTCTAATATTAATTAATATATGTTATATGCATGTATATAGGAATATATTGATACATATGTATTAATTATATATTACCAAATAAAGTTTAATAAATGCACAAAATCACACGGACCTCCGGAAATCCATTAAGATGAAGTTGAAGGCTAGGAAAGTACTTTGGGGGAAGTACTGCAAAAATTTCTTATTCTTTCCTTGGCACCCTGAGCACCTGCTTATGGCCACTGCTGGAGCCCGCATACCTGGCTAGGTAGACCTGTGGCCTGGTTTCAACCAGAAGGCCTTGTACCCACAAGGCAGTAGAGGGTACTGCTAGAAACCTACTGCCCACCCTTGCCTTTACAATATACATATAGAAGAGAGAGTTCAACACAAACATTTCCCTACTTTGATAAACCAGGGGATATTGTCCTATTTGAGCACTTTCTTACCCAATTTAACCACACACAAGGGCAAACGATGTGCTTTTTGTTAAGAAACGCACGCATCTCCCAGTTTTCATTTTCAAGCAATGGTATCATCTAATTACTATCTTACACGTTATAGCTGCTGCCTGTTTATACAAATGCATTTTTGATAACCGATGAAAAGTTGGCACAACTTTATAACATGTAAAATGAAAGACTGAAAAACCACTGGACTCAAAAAAAGGTGACAGAAAGGAGCCAAAAAGGACTCAATTTCAAGATTGAAAGAAAGTTTGAGAAACTGGAAAATGAGCTTCATCACACACTTTGGGAGGATGAATGGTAATAAGTTTTCTTACATTCAGCAGAAGTAGATCATGCTGAGGCGTGCACTGAAAAGGGAAAGAAGGGGAAAGACAGCTAACTATATTCTTACTCAAGTAGGTGAGTTTACTTACATTCTGTGCAGTTTCTCATATTTAAATATAATTAAAAGATAAAGAAAGTGTCTTCCCATGAAGAAAAGAGAGAAGTAGTTCATTCTCTGGAAACGAAATATCCAAATCTTTGATAGCGTATATTAAGTATGTGGACTAACCAGCCTTTCCAGTCTTTTTTGATGATGCTGATAAAGAGAGCATGGTGAGAGATTCTAGTAAACACACTGAGAATTTAAATCAATACTCTACTTTAACGGCATTAGGCATTTTGCAGGTTTTCCGTTTGTTTTTTGGAAGGGTGGAGAGTCTGTTTGGGACTTCTTCCTCTCAGCACCTTGGTATAGGTTATGGTTACACTCTCAAGACAGGTAGTTCACCACATGATGAGCTTCAGCTTAACATCAGACCTTCTTTAGAAAGCACAGAAATATTACCCATACTAGTTTTCTGCTTTGTATAACCTGAAATGGATTTATGCTTAGTTCTTGCAGGCACCAGCACACTGTCTTGCCAGAAGCCTCTACTGGCAGGTGACCTACTTTTCCTGAAGAGCTGCTCTCATCTTCCAGTTTCCAGTTGAAAGGAAGTATATAATCAGATTCTTTATTAGAGTGTGCCTTTCTCTGACAGGTTACAACAATTATGCAAGTATTAAAAATGCATTTTAGCTTACAAACAAGGAACAAATAGTTCTTTAAAGGAGACAGAGAAATTGAAAAGTAGTAGAACCTAAGATAAAATCCTAAAATACCCCCAAGCCCTCCTATTCCTTTAACTGCTTTTCCTGACTGACCCTTGAAATGCTTGTGAAAAAGTGGAGTTCTTATTTCAGTTTAACATCTAGACAGCTACTGAATACTATGTTAAGATTGAAAACTTTTAGATATATTTCCTTGACACAAAAGAAGTATCAGAGCATTACTGAACTGTTATGCCTCAAGCTTATTGGAAATTATTCTAAAACCAAAGCCACAGGATGTTTAACTTTGTGTCAATTAATTCTTTTGTTAACTCTTGTTACAAAACTATTAGTAATACAGAGCAGTATTAATCTGCCCTCAAATATTTCTATATCCTATTATCTCATATTAGCAGAAATATCCTTCTTATTTACAGATTCGAGTTGTTTAACCACTGAAGAGCACATGATTTGCATCAGTTCCTCAGAGCACTGTCTCTTGGTCATACGTTGTACCTTTGGTTTAAGCAGAGCCCCAGATCTCCCATGCTCAAAACATTCAGATATTTAACTTGATTTGTGTCAAGAAGCCATAACAGAGGTGGGGGAAGACAAAGCTATTAGTTATTTAATGTAGAAGGCAAAGATACAAGTAAGATACATGTCCGTGAGTCTCATTTTTAACTTTGACAGCTAGAAGCAAAGGGTTGTTCACCACCAACCACTGAACCTGGAATTGCCTGGGAAGATCATCTTCTGCAGTTTCTGAGAAACTTCTGAAAGACATACTATTAGGGTTAAGCTTTTGGGTATCAAACTGAGCACCTGACAAATTAAGAAGCTTTTTAGATGAAGTTTCATTAGACATCACAGTTGTGCTATCAGCTACAAAGCCAATTGTAATGGGGTTGGGAACTTCTTGCTGCTATTGAACGAAGCGGCTACAAGCGAGAGCACAAGAACCGATCCTGGAAAGCGAACAAGGCAAGTACCAGCTCGGGATCGCATGGTGCCACTTACTCCAAAACAGCTTCCCACCCAGTAGTGTAATTGCAAACTGAAGTGCACTCAGTATCCAAAGACAACTGGATTTGGGGGGTAATTTAGGCCTGCTTAAATATAAAAGTGAGTTTTGTGCAGCAAAATTTGCAGACAAAATATTACCTCAGTCAAGTGGTTTGACAAAACTAGTAGAGGAAGGTTTAAACCCCTCTCTGCGGCCTTTCCCCAAAGAGACTCTCCTCAGTCTCCTCCTTTGGCCATTTCCCTCTTTCTCCCTTAAAAAAAAATCCTTCTCAGGCTTCTGTCTTGCCTGTCTGTGTCACCATAACAGTAGAGCTAAGGCTTTCATTTCTTTGTTTTCTGAACAGCTTCAAAAGAGGAATTGCTGTAGCAATGTGGATGACCTGATACTGATTCCATAGGAAATAGGTTCTCTAGGAGTTAATGCTGAAAAGTGAAAGCAATGGTAGATAGGTGGCTGGCAGTCCAAGGGACACTGCTAGACAGGTCTGGTCTTCAACAGCGAGCAGATACATAAACACATGGTGCACCGTATGCATTAATAATGTCATGCCTTAAAGGATTTATTGTCTCTATTTCCAGTCCACCATTATTATTCTCACATCCAAGCATAGTTGGCACCAGTGTATAAATTCATGCACTATCCAAATGGAACAACTTACTTATAGACCTTTGATACCTACTCTGAAAACATGTAAGTAGTAGTCATCAAGACAGTTTTATAAGAGGAGATGGTTTTTATACACTAGCTGTATCTTTAGGGGATGTCTCTGCAGAGGTTGCAAGCCAAGGTAAACAAGTATAATATTTATTTTAAATTATTACCAAGGTTTTATGGTCTCTGAAATACAGACAGAAACCAAGGTGCTTCAGACTTCTCCAGCCTGCGTTTACTAACGGATTGACTTCACGTTAGCAATTTAATGTGTTTTCTGCCAGCATTTGTTTGTCAGGTTAAAAGTTAAATACTTCCTGGCTATATTTCCTTGTTACCAATTTCCCACAGAATCTCAACAATTTTGTGGTGAAACAAGCAAGGTAGTAATAAAAATTAAAATGATCTGTTTTTTTATCTCCATTATACCATGGGGAAAAGACTAGCGCCTTTTTTTTTTCTTTTTTCTTTTTTTTTTTTTTTTTTTTAAGTTTGAAGAAATCATGGGAAACTGAATCTTGAAAAAGTTAAAAGTTAGACTTTCTCCTAAGATGAATCAAACTCTATTTCTTCAAATCTCCCTGCTACCAATTTCTGTATCTTTTCTCAGGGAAAAAAAACTTTTTTGTAACACTACAGAGCAGTGTGGATGGATCGGTATTCCAAATGTATAGCCACTCTGATTGTGGATCCACCACTCCTTAATCATCAAATATCAAGAATACTTATGTTTCAATTACTGTAGCTCACATTCATTAATATCAGAGCTCCAAATCTGGCCTTTTTGGAAGGGTCAGCTCCGAAGAGGCCCAAACTAAGATCCACATGAGACCATTCAGAAATTACATTTGTTCGTATGTAAATACAGATGCTTTATGAGTCTAGACTGCTTCTACTCTTAGGATTAGATATATCCTGTAAAAGTTTTGAGTCATAATTTAACTCAGAAAAAATATCGGATTTAACTGTCTTGTACTTTGTTCCATCTCCTCACCTTTTTAGTGTTTAATGTTTTCCAAAGTACGACGTGTATTTGTTTCCACAGTGATTGCTCTACCATTCACATGGTTACTGATTAAACTGAGTGGAGTTAAAGGATTATCCTGAGATAAGACTCTTTCAAGGAACACGTGGGTTTTTTTGAGTATCACAAGCCAAATATAGTTAATTTTGCAGCTCTAAGCATGGTTTTTTTTTTCTTCAGTAAGTATGTGAGGTATTGCCTTCTGATTGGCCCATATATAGATAGATTTCACTGTATCACAGTGACTACTTGTTTAAGTAATTTACGTTATCTTATTTTTGACATGTAACACCCACTTTTTAAATGTGTGCAGCCTACATGTTCTTGATGATGAGAACATCAAGTGCTCATTAAATCTTAATGTCCAACCCTCTGCATGACAAACTCAGCGCATAAAATTCCTACTATGAAAGGATGTTCCTTAAATTGTTGCTTATGAACTCTGCTTCTAAAATTGGAGACATAACGTTACCTCACAGCTTGTTGGGCATCTAACAATCATTGTTTTTGAAGTCCCTGAGATCACTGCCAAATACACAGATAAAAAGAAATACCATCTTTGCATTCAAGAAGAAGTTACGGTAAATGAGCTGCAATAATGGGAGAATTAACACAGTTAATCTTTGGATAGGGACTTCAAGGGACCGTGTTTTAAAAAATAGCAAGCATGAGACAAAATCATGATGCCAAACATCCCCTATAGATTACTATATTTATCTGTAGTTGTAAAGGGGTAAGCAAGTGACTACTGGCCTGCTAAGCTTGTGGTTTTGAATACAACTGCGGCCTTTTCCATAGCAATTCCTCTCTGACTCGCGCTCAGTTTCCAGCGCAATGTGATGGGGAAGCTGGCAATAGGAGCAGCTCTGCATTCTTTCTTTTCTTCCTGCCATCAGATGCCCTGAATAGACCGTGTTTTCTTCAGGGTCAGCCCCAAAGTAGACCTCCTGCAGACTGGTGCATAGCCATGGCCTCCAGCTGTTCTGAGCCTGGGTTGCAAGGGCTCTTCCTTATGTTGTTCCCTAGAGAAGAGAAACAGAATGAGCTATGGTTATGATGGGACTATGTGGAATTCCATTTTCCCCACTGTCCCATTTTCCAATCAGTTATGCTTGTGTGCAGTGACAGGAAAATACTGACATCCCCCATGACATGGCAAAAGATGCATTAGTGTGGAGGCTGCAAGCTACAAGCGTGTATACAGGGTGAAGTGCTATGAATTACCAAGCTATAAATTTTGATGAGATTGTCTGCTGCCACAGTGACACATGCAGTGTAAGTGCCCTGTTAGAGTAGAATAAAGGTATTGCGAACTTTAACAGGATACAGAAAACAGAGTGTGTGGGTACTTAAAAATAAAGACTTATAACAGACATCGAGGTTTTTAAAAGGTACTAAAGGCTATAACATTAAGTTAAGTTGCTAGGAAATAATTATTACCACTCTCAAGATACTATAATTGAAAGCTAAGCAATGCTAATGAGACCATCAACTTTGCAAGTTTAAGAGCAGAGTACATCAGGATTTAACAGCATCACATTCTTTGTGCAGAAAGCTACAAAGTTAAATGAATAATCAATAGCACTGACAGTTCTGGAGGGACATTGACTTTCATTGTTGAGACATTCTAGAAGTAATAAAATGTTACAAAATGTCAACAAAAGCCCACAGTTAAGGCACGTGGAGGAAGGGCAGACTTAAAAAATTGAAGATGTGCAAATTTTATATTTAACCTGGTACTCTCAGAGACTCTTCAGAACTGCCACAGTAATGAGTTTTAGAACTAAAGTAGACTCTACCTATACCAAGTATGCAAGCAAGTTAAGAATGAATGGAAAGAACAGATCACGTTTACAGTTCCCTGTGTGATAACCCACCCTTGTCATGAGATTACCAGTAAGTACTGCAGTTTCTCTGGGATATGTTCAGGAGTAGATACTATTTTGGAAAAATTAAAAAATGAAAAAAAAGGAGGGGGGACTGAAAAGCAAAATAGCTGATATTTAATTGGCTTTAATATGACTGAAACCACATTCACATGCTGAAAATGAACACCTTATTTAAGGTCTCAAAATAGTACTTGATACCTGGTTTTATGATTATATCTAAGATATATTTATATTTACATATAAATATATATTTACACATGAAAAATTCAAAGATGTATAATCCTATAAAAAACACTCCTGAGACACCATCATTATAACGTATCGGAAAAGAACGTATGTTACAACACAGGTCGTTGTTACCTATGTTGACATACAGCTTTACTTTGAAAGATAATGTCGGTTAACATCTTTTAAAGATTAAGATTTAAACCTTAATTAAAAGTTCTGAATAAAAAGCTAGAAAATAAAAAACCCTCTCCCCTGCTTTTCAGTTGAGATGTTTACAAAGTAAAGGAAAAATCAAATGGACCAGAACTGATTTCTGTTTTGCTGTACAGACCTACAGGGAGGTATGTGACTAACTGTCAAATGTCATTATACTGCAATGATAGGCTTCAGCCTTTTTCTAAGCTTGCCAAGCCCAATGGCATCTGATGGCTACATTTTCCAATTTATAATGCAGACATGTTTTGCTAGATTATATATTTACCGATTTCCATTCCTTTTTCCTGAAACAATAGTAAATACTGCCAAGGAACTCCACCATTAATAATTGGTAATGGGACAGTATGGAGGAACTAAATAGTAAACTTAGAGTTAATTACACTGGGATAATGAGAGCATTATCATCACCTTTCAGCATTTCTTTTTCTCATAAGCAAAGATGAGAGATCACAATGAAAGGACTCATTTGCATGGACTCCACTGTGGGTGTCTGGGTGCATGCGAGTTGTATGGTAAGAGAAAGACAGTTTCTCATCAAACACTGTATTTGGTACTTGCTTTCAGTACGGTATGTCATAAATCTTTGATGGCTGAATTGATTTTATATATAAATAATTTTTAAAAATGATAATAGAATTATTTCTATGTAAATAGGCTAATGAGTTATCTATCCTTACAGAAACAAAAAGTGATTTATAACTTTAATATTATTCAAGGATAAATTCTGAGCCTATTAAGGGACCATGACTCAGCCCCAAGAACTTTTTTTCTGATAAAAGACTTGCAGCTTGCTGAAGCATGGTCTGAATAAGCCCTGGCTGAAGGCTATGGTCTTAACCCACAAGTGAACTCAGTGCAACTGTGAGGAGGCCTGCCAGTCTCTGCAGATGTAAAGTGCGCACCTGCATGAAGTGGCAAGTATTCAGAGTCTGGCTCAGCATTTAAACCCTGACCAACTCCCTGCTATTGCGAGTAACTGTATCTTATAATTCTGTTTATAAAGAGAATTTGTCATACAGGTTACACTTGCACTTCCCATCTGAAACAGGTTGGGTTTTGTGGCACTACTTCCACTGGAGGAATACCTGAGAAACTCATTCTTCTGATGATTAGCAATTATCTTCTCTTTTCCAGTCTGCAGCCACTCCTAGGCCGATTTATTTTTCTTTTGCCAGTATAGCTCTTCAGGTTTGATCGGGTTTTTTTTTTTTCCTCTCTAGTGTTTATCTCCTGATGCTTATACAGAGAGCAAATATATCCTTTCATTCTACAAGTTTTATAAGCCAATCATTTTAAAATTATGTTCATGGTGCATATTTGGCCAGTGCCTGAGACTCCTACATTTTTATTGCATCCAAAATAATACCCAGTCAGGCACCAGCCTCTCCGTTTGTCAACGGCAGCCAACAGCTAGGAAGCAGTAAGGAACAGCTTTTTAAACTGTCTCTTAGCTGTGACAGTCTCAGCTCTCCGCTTTGATGGTTAAACCCAGCCAGATTGGACCCTTTACCACACCAAACTGCTTGCATACAGGAAGCAGCTAATGCTTGTCCACCAACAGCCTGAATTCTCTTTGTGCTGATCTTTGAACGCTATAGAATTTTTTTTTTTTTTTTAAAACAATGTGATCAAATAAGGTATGATAATACAGGCGTGACCTTTGCTTTCTATTCAGCAGAAATAGTTGGCATTTGATAGAGAAGTTTACTGCAACAGTTATTGAAAAAGGCTAAAAGTATAATCAAGTCTTTGCGAGGTTGTATGCAACAAAAAGAATACAAGTATCATCTTGCGGAAACAAAATGTTACTAATAATTATTAAGCATTAATTATTATTTTAGATAGCAGTGAGAAAGTGCTTGCTCCTATTTATCTTACCTATTTTTCAGGCATACGAGGATTACTTGCTCTCCCTAGGAGAAAAGAAAAATATATGTCATTTACTATAAACTGCAGAAACAGGGGATTATCTGACAGATCCACGGTAGGAGAGGTGCAGCTGTGGCAATAATAAACTAAAGAGCATCTTTGCCGTACTCTTTGGGACCTGGTAAAGCTATTGCACTCCACGAAGCTGCTATTCTCCGTGTAGTCAGTGAGATTACATATGAGTTTATCTGACCATTAACCTAAATAAATCTGGATCATAATTTGGATTCTAGAGTAGATCTGCAAAAAATAAGTATTAATCTAGCTATCTTCAGTAGTTTGAATGCAAGTCAAGTGGCCAACGTAGAGGCATCTGAACTGCCTCAAATTTGCAGAACAAAAGGATGATACGTGAAAATAGGGCAATTTTAATACAAGCACATACTTGTGAAAGGGCCAAGACTTTAAAAACATTTAATGCTCTGCATGTGCTGGTAACTGACATGTAATATTGATGACCAAAACAGGATGAGTTCAAAACTCAATAGTTAGAAATACCCTAACTTTTTCTCTCAACAGTATCTGAATGTCTGTCTTCTTTAAAATTAATGACTGAATTTTCAAAAACATATAAACGAAGTGATTTTGTCCATCTTTAAGCTAGATGTTTCCAGTAAGTTCCAATACATATTTGAATTCAAGTTACTTTTGAAAATACCGTCCTGATCATCTTTCACTTTATTTATTCCGGTGGTATTCAGAAATAAGGTGTGGTGGGGCTGGTAAAACAATATGGTGCTGGGTGCCATCCTTTACCTGAATGCCTGCAAAAACACTGCTGGAAAGACTTAGTCTCCATGCACATTTATGTTTTGCTTCCAAAATACTTTTTCATGCACTCTGAAATTTGTTTTCCATAATTTCTTACCAGGAAAGAGTTATCTCTTATTGCTGCCTATATACACACACGAGAGAGAAATACATTCATTAAATTCATGGAGGAAGGGAGTTGCATCACATACCATACAATATTAGAGTAAGGTTTCATTAAGACCCTTTATTTTGTACTGATGTCAGTGTAAACTCACCTTCACTTCACACTTTTATTGACATTGGCTCTTCATCAGTCTTTCTCTTCGGATTAGTTACTCCTATATATATATATATGTATATGTATTTAGTGCCTTAAATTGCTAATGACTACAAAGCATCTCTGGTACCTGGCTCCAAATCCTGCATTGCCCCATCCTACTGAATTTGATGTATATTTGCACATCCTGAATTGAATGGCAAAAATCGCCATTTAATAGTTAAAATGTGAAATAAAGAGATAGAAGATAGCAGAAACTCTTACTATTTATATGCCAATACGTACTTTTAAGTTTGGCTGCAATTATTTCTACTGTGAATACTTTTTCCATGTGACCAAAAATAGAAAGATTTCCTCACAGTGTATCCTGGAAGTTCTGAAGGGATGTGCAGCACGCTGAGGTGAGGGGGCCTGTGCCTGATTGGCTACAAACTCATTCAAAACTGAGAATCTCCATCTGCCTCTCTCATATATAAAGAAAGGGGAACTAAAAGCCCAGATTTTCAAGCAGCTGGAGACTGGGGCACTTTTGTGCTGTGTCACTGCTTGACCTTTGTGACTCAAGTCAGTGTTCTGGTATAAAAGTGTATGGAAGATGCATAGCGAGAAAATGTGAAGTTTTTGTTCAAGATTAGAGACATTAAATAACATGAACTAAATTCTAGTTTGAGTACAAGTTAAAGGATGCAGAAATTATTTCCTGAAGTTCTATACTCTTTTACAAAAAACAGACTGTGTTATTAACAGCTCCTCTAGGCATCTAGGACATCAGAGTCAGTATAGATTCTCTTTTACAGGAAAGGCTTGGAGACTCCTTACTGCGTCCAGACAAGCACTGGAAATACAGATGACCTGAGTTAATTAGTTTAAAGCAAAAACAATCACCTTCAGACACAAACTTAAGCCATCTGCAAATTATCGTACCTCCATTGCTAAGATGCATATCCCTGCGTTGTTCTTCTGTTTTGTTCTGTTTTTCATTACACACCCTAAGTTGCTTCCTTGCTGTAATGGATTTCATGAAATACTTTGTCATTACTCTTTGCATGCTTGGAACAGTTTTTTTGCAGAGGAAATTACTTTAGCACATCACTTCAGCTTCTCTTAGCTTGCTTTCCACTGGGAATGCATGGATTGTACTCATGAATAATGTGAAACACAGCTACTGCCGCTTGTCTTTTAGAGACAGAAACCATGTGCAAAGCATGAAATACAGAGTTTTTCTAATATGAAAATACATTTTCATGAGGAAACCACATAAGCTATACTCACCAGAAAAAACACTGTAAACCTGCTATATGTTTCCAAATTCTTTTAAACTAATGACAATAGGAACCGCTTTTTAAAATTTAGGAACTAAAAAAAGACTAAAATATGCCATTCCAAATTAAATGCAGAAATAAATGATGACAATCTATTCATAGGAGAAATCATGTTTCTTGGATATAGGATTAAGAACAAGCATTTGTTAGAATACACTGGTCCTTGCAAATCATGAACTTAGGAAAATTGTCCAACCCTATCTCATTTTACAGACTGCAGCTTGATAAATCGTCAATATTTTTCCAGCACGGAACTTCAAATAGTCACGCACTGCTAGTCTCGACCCATTCGGCAGACTGCTCAAGTATCCTCCTGGGTGCTCATTAAAATAACTGTCTGAAACAATGCAATTGCTCTTCCTCAGCTTTTTGGTTCTAGCCTTATGCCTGACCTCCACATAACTGTGAGAGGAGATGTTTACCACGGAGGTGGGAGGAGCGGTTCCTTTGGAGGCTTTAGCCTCTCTTCCCTTTAATGGCACCTCCGTACAGCATACGCATCTACGCATTCAGACACTTCTCCTTTGCAGGAGGAAATTTGCTTTTTTGCATTCAGAGGCTTCTTGCAATGCTTCCCTAGAGTGACAGATATTGTGAACTGCAGAGGTCTGTCTCCTGGAGATGACAAAGCCTGTTCTGAGACTTTGGCTGGTCCTAGCACTGATCACCTAGCTTGTCACCTCCTGTCACAGTGATCAGGGAACGCTGCTGATTAGCTCACTGTACTGGGGCAGGCAGGTTTATGGTATAGATATGCTTCATTTGATAACAGCAATGTAATGGATTCACTGCCTGAATCTGACCATGACAGATTAGGTCAGATTCTCCTTCCACTTCTGGCATTTTCCAAGCGAAACTCTTCTACTTACTTTGGGGGAGGGAGGAGGCTTGTCAAAGGTGGTGGTGGGGAGATTCTTACTTTTAAAAATATGCTCTTCACTCTCAGCTTGCACCCAAAACATATCCCTGAAATATAACAGCTTAGTGATAATAGATGTTACCTGGCAGCTCCTTGACACAGAAGGACACTGAATTCCTTTAATTGTATGAAAATTTAAAACATATTTCCTGTAGCATTTATCAGCGGCAGACTACTCAGAACCCAGCTAGTGATTATTCGTAGGACAAGAGTTAATGAGCTCTCTGAACAGATTCACTTACATAAGGGCTAGCCATATGTCAAGAAACACTAGCAAGAAAAAAAAAAAAAAAACAGACCAGAAAGGAATTAATGCACCATCAGAACCGATTACATTTGTCCCAGCAAGGAACATAAACATATGCTTAACTTCAACTCCATTCTGCTAAGCCAGACCTCAGTAAACTGCACACTCGGAACCAAAACAGAGACCGAAATCCTGGCCCATCTCATAAAAATTCCATGTAGTCCACTGCAGAGAGATTTTACCTCTATTTTATATTTATATTTCCTTATCTCAAATTTTAATATATTAGTCTTTGCACTGGAACTTACTGAAATATGAATTTTTGGATACAGGATACTTTAAACAGGAACACAACAATTCACGTCTCCCTGCTTAGCAGGCTCTTACTGGATTATAATACACCTCCCGTGACATGTTGTTTCTGGTGATTTTATTGAGCTAGTAACTCTAATCTTATTTCTCAGCCCAAACATGTCTGCTAAAGACTAACAAAACTGTGTAGGTACCTTATGATATTTGGCGCATGGGAGCCACTAGTGATTATACTTTAAGCATCGAATAGGCATCCATCAGAAGCAAAAACCTATATTCACCATATTTCTACTCTGCTAGGTATGCAACCATTGTTAGTTTTCCCAGTGACAACACCTTCCCATCTGGGATTGTTCTCCTAATTTTAGACTATTTGTCTTTTTCCACTAAGGCTCTACCAGTGCCCTTGGATTTGCTAGTAGGTGATATAGCAATTCTCTGCTTTCCTCGGATAAAAGTATTTTGACAAGGAAGACCCAAGAGGGCTGCCAAACATGACAAACATTCCACAATTTTCAGAATCTTGTTAGGAATATATAGTGGTAGTGTGTAGTTACTGTGTATGTGCTACATCTTATTCAAGATAATTTCTTCAACATTGTCGCACACTCATGTGTACTAATGTCATCATTCATGTAGAGGATTACTGCAACAACATCTGAACTTTCTTACACTGAGGATGTAGTCCTCTTTCAGCTTAAAGAAGTCCCAATTAATTTATTGAATCTAAATCCTTCTTCTATTTCTTCATTAAAATATAATATGTACATATATATACAGTCTGTGAAGACTGAAATTAAATTTGGCTTTAAGTTAACTACAGACTTACTTCGGAAATACTGATACCAATGAATCAATTAAACTCTGGTGAACAGTTAGACAACTTACTCCCCGATTCTCCAGTTAGTGGCATTCTCTACTTTATGACTTGGATGGAAATTTGGATTTAGTCTTCCCCGCTGATTTGATTCAACACCTTAATTTAAATTGCATTGAAATCACTAGATACCCAAAGAAATCATTAAGCTCTGGATCCGAACCTAAAGATTAGAATTTCCAATGTGTTTTATTGGGATTCTCATAATGGAGAACATGAGATTATAATGGACCATACATGTACTCAGAGTACAAAATGGAATTTCAGAAGGTCGCAG